TAAGAGCTTTTCGGAGCTGACTATTACCAAGTAATATCGTTTATCTATTATCATTATATCATTATTGATAATTGATACACACTTATTAACATTATTAAATATTATATGTTTAACAGCAATAATATGATAATATTTACATACATAAATAACTTTCAAATTGACAATATAATTAACAATATATATATGACAAAATATATATATATATATATATATATATATATATATATATAAAATATAAAATTATATATATATATATAAAATTATGGAAATTATGTTTATTATATGCTTATATACATTTACATTATAGGAAGATATTTATATAAAATAATTATGGAACTTCTTATATATATTTATAAGAAATGGATTTTTTACCGAAAATAAAATTTGCTACTTTTGAAATATCGTGTCAATCTTCGAGAAAATTACATACTTGTATATACTGAATTAAATTGGAATGGCACTGTCTCATACAACCACATGACCGTCTACCCTTTTCATACGTGCCATTCATTTACTTATTATTGAAATTAACAGAAGTTTGAGAATGATCAGAATTCAGAATGCAATTATTCATAAAATAATTATAGAACTTATTATATTTCATTGTTATAAAATTTGCTACTTTTGAAATATCGTGTCAATCTTTGAGAAAATTACATACTTATATATATTGAATTAAATTGGAATGGCACTGTCTCACACAACCACACGACCGTCTACCCTTTTCATACGTGCCATTCATTTACTTATTATTGAAATTAACAGAAGTTTGAGAATGATCAGAATTCAGAATGCAATTATTTATAAAATAATTATAGAACTTATTATATATATTTACGTATTTATATTATAAAAAATGAATTTTTTAGTTAAAACAAAATTGGTTTGTTCTCAAATAATTAATCTTCGTCAATCCTTGTAAAGTACGTATTCAACTGAATTTAAAAGGAATTACACCGTCAAACATAATCGGTCTTCTGCTCTTTTCACATGCGCTAATCCATTACTTATTATTTAATTGTGAGCAGAAGACCGTAGTCAATTAGTTTTTCAAATCTGCTCCTTAGATCATGTATTTTTTGCATGCTCGTCTTCATTCTTAAAGTGCCGCATTCGGTGCCGTTTCATGTCGCCTTTTTGCTTGAAGCTGAACGAGCACACGTCGCATTCGTAAGGCCGTACTCCACTGTGAATGCGTTTGTGAATGGTGAGCGTAGAGTTCCTTACAAACTTCTTCCCGCATATGTTGCACTGATACTTGCGAGCCTCCACCGGCAGATGCGTCATAATATGCACACGCAAATTGCGTTTGTAACTGTTAACATAACAAATGTGCACATGTACTGTTTTACGCATGTAAAAGTCTCATGTAAAAGTGTTTCGACACCGATAAATACCTATATATATATATATATATATA